AATTAAGAAGCAAGAAATACTTCCACCTTCATTAGCATTAATCATAAAGGCCAGATTTATTTTATAAAGACTTCCATGTTACAAAAATAGAATTAGAAAAAATTTCCCCTATTAGTCAGGATTTCACATATTGGGTAGTATATTAAGATGAAAAGAAGCTGACTAAATGGATACTAAATATCTTTTGTAAGGTGCCTAAAAATCTGTATAATTTCATCATTTTCAAATGAGTAATGGAGTTGGTTAGCCTAAAATATGGGTCTCCAAACCACATTTTGGGAGATAGGAGTAGGGAAAGAATCAATTATTTCTCTGAAATCCTAGGACAGTTGTGGAAAGTCATGGCTCTGGTCACTGGTCCAAAGATGATGTATTAGGATTTGGAACTGCCTAGTTCTTTGAATCATTCAAAAATTCAGTGAACATTTATATGTCAGGTACTACGTTAGGTATTCAGGGGTGAATAAAGCAAACTCCCAACCCTCAAAGATCTCAAAATCTCTTGGGGTCAAACATATAATAAAAAGCAAAACCTACATAAAATTAAAGCATTCATAATTTCAAAAATAATTTTACCCAACTTTGCAAACGTCAAAATGTAGCATTAACTAAGAATATAAGCCACTGCTAAACAAAAAAACAATGAATAGAGAATTTCATGTTATAGTTTTATCTCTAAGTTCCTCCGTGATCAAATTAGTTCTCTTCTAGCCTAGTGCATATACAGCATATATATTAATATATTTGAACTTGATATGTCAGAGATTAGTGCTTCAAAACCACTTTTAAAAAATCTTTTCTTTCCCGTGTCATTTTAGTTGTGTTAGTATAATAAATAATACTTACTGGGCTGCTCCTTCCCTGAGAAGATTATCATTATTAAGCAGTAACCGAACATCTGCAAAACAAATATTGTTTTCTATATTACTATTTTTCTGTTTGAGGAATGTAATGAATGCAGATTGTTTCAGTCATGTATTAACAACCCCCACTCCAAATGCAAGCAAAATCAAAATATCACTCTCATGACCAAAATAACCACAAGCACCACATGATGGTATTTAAAATTAAAAGGAAAAAAAAAGATTTTTGTTAGGAAATAAAGGGAATGAATAGAAATATGCCATTTCATACCCTGAATAGGCAGTGCAGGCAGACTGTAATGTATGTCCAAAAAACTAAAGATAAAAGCTACCCCAGAAAGATAGTGTGATAAGATCTGCAGAAAAGATTTAGGATTATGCCTCTTAGTATGACAATACAATCATTAGTTCAAATGAATTTGCTCTACAGAAAAAGCGATCAGCCAAGAAACAGTTTGTGAGCAGAGCCCGGATGGAGGCATTTCTGTCCTTAGCTCATGTTCAAGCAACAGATGAATAACTCTGCTTTGATTTAGTGATCTGACTTTGGTTGATTCTTAATTCCATCCTAATTTTAGACTTAATTTTCACGTAGACAGTTGGCTATTAATTGTTAACATGACTTCAAAATTTTCATTTGAAAATCCAAGCACTTTGTAAAACATAAAAGAAAAAAATCACAGATAATTTCATCAAAAACCAAAATTCTATTCTAGTCTTTGTGTATTTTCTTTCATTATTTTTCCTAAGCACTTGGGTATTTTATGTAGTTGCTATTGTAAAGTACATAAAACAATGTATTCTAATTTTTTTTCATTAGATGAAAATAACCAACCTAAATATCTTCCATTAAGAAACTACTTAAATATAAGACTATAGTTCTTATTTATAAGTGTGAAATTAGGCAGCCATTAAAAATTACATACATATATGTTTGTCAACATGGAAATAC